AGGCACCAAGCAGTAAAAAGCAAACTTAAAGTTGAAAAGCGGGAAAAAAACTATAGCCTCACCAAACTTAATGCTCTATAGTAAAAATACTTAAGTTAAACAAGTATTGAAAATAGCAAAAAAAGCTTTTTAAAGTTATTTTTTCAAAAAAATAGCCAAAAAACCCTATGTTTCAACACTGTCAATAGCAGTGCAAAACCTAAAAAGGACCAATCCTGCACTTTCCTCAAAAGACATGAGTCAGCAGATTACTAATCTTCTATCACTAAAGTCGGGTAAGATTACACTGGCTAAGAGCCTCTGAATAGCTACTATGACCGTAAGGGATCCCTAGATCATCTTCTGCCCTTTTCTGAATATATTCAGTTGATGTAATATGTTTCTGAGAAAGATCAAAATGCCATAAAGGTATACAGTATTTGTAACAGGGGTGTACATAAGTGCAATATATTGATCAGGTAATTTAGACGTCGCAACAAATGGAGTCTTTTACTACCTTTTGAAACCATCATGTTAACATTAGCATCCCACTTCAAGTCATTCTGCACTAGAATACCTACTAATTTTAGCCACACTTACAATGTTTAATACAGTACATGATTACCTAACAGGGGGTTCAGGAGTGACCACTTTAAAACAAAACTGCATAGTATTACACAATTTGCATGGCCCAGTTACTGTAGTTAAGGCGTGTACAGCCAGAAGGTCCAGGGTTTGAATCCTGGTTGGGTAACTTTTTTTTTTATCTAATAACACTACGTAAAATTAACACCTACGTACATATGATAGTAATATGTACATACGTGATAGTAACAAGTAACTTTACCAACTGGGCCATGGAGGCCTAGTTGTCTTGCACTGTGTCTATTTTTATTCTTATTTTAAAGATATATTTAGAGGTAAAAAATATTTATTTATCATTATAATGTCAATTTTGAACGTTAGGAACTTCTAAACTGGGATTCGAAGCAGGGAACTATCTGTTGTCTATCTGCCTTATTAACAAATTGGGGCATTGTTTTTGCATTTAATGTCAACATTTTATTCTTTGTTAAGGTAATTACTCATATTTATACTTCTTTTATATTCACCTATTATTAAATTAATTAATTGTCAGCGATTGATTTTTTTTTGTATCAATTTCTGCATTACTTGGTTACAAAAACATTTGATGAAACGAACTCTGAAAAGGATTTTCATAGACGGAAACATTGTAGTTGTATTAGCTTATTATAATCTCCAACGGTAGCAAGATGGTTTTAAGAGTTTAATAGAACACCCTTTCCCAGAAATTACTTTTTGAATTAGAATGAATAACATTTGCATGGAAATTGTTGAAATTAACTACAAATCTGCCCCTGTACAAACATTGAATTTGACTTTTTAATATACAATGCCATTTCTGGACATCTGAGGCGTTATAATCATTAAAAACGTCCCTAACCACGATGAGGCTGAGGTGAGCAAGGACTCAAACTGCCCTTTTATAAAAAAAAATACAACTCTTTACCCACTCTCTCTATAAAAATCCTGCCTATGGGCTTGTACTCTCGTCCTGATCAGGGATCCGTAAGCTAATGCGTAGGAGGGCTTACTGGGCATGCAATAAACCAGAATCCATGACCAAAACAAGAAAATTTACTTTTTATCATATTCATATCTAATTACCCAGAGTAAAACTTTAAAATTTTACTGGAACTTCTATTGTCAATATATATTCAAACTCTATTTCAAAAATCGCATTATGCAATATCCTGCAATTTGTGTAACAGTATACAGGTTGGCATTTCTGTATGATATATCAATTACTGAACACATATATAATTAAAATAAATTCAACAAATACACTATGAAGAAGTAAATGATTACAGCTTTGTAGGCCTATACCTATTTACTGTACGTATTACTATCACGTACGTATGAATTAAAGCGCCCCTTCGATGTCGATGGGTGTGGTCGAAAGTGCTCTTTAAATATGCTCGCTTCACTCACAAATAACCCACCCCGCGAATTCTGAAAGCTTCGCTAAATTGCTCCGAGTTCAGCTTTCCCCCTGCGCTTTCGTTTCGACCCCCACCCCCTTAAATTTTTCACGTACGCCCCTGACAAAGGCCAAGAGCATGTTCATAAGGGTTGAAATTTCTGCCTAGGATAATATGGCATGCTCTTTTCTGTATCACTTCAATGGTGTTACTTAAATCTTGAGTGAGACCTCGGTGCCACACAACATCAGCATATTCTAATATTGGTATAATATACCCTTTATAAACTGCACAAAGTTCTTGTTTATCAAGTCCAAACTTTTTAAGATTTCAGAGCATAAACAGTTTTCTATTGGCCTTAGTAACAATATTGTTAACTTGGTCGTTCCATTTCAGATTATTCTGAAGTGTACGCCTAATATTACATACAGTCTTATCAACCACAGTAATAGGTTTGCCATCAAAGCAAGTATAATTGGTGGGTTTTTTGAAAAGCAGACCTGTCGAGTTTGACACTTTCTAGGGTTGAGCTGTAGAGAGTTTTTAGCACACCAATCATAAAATATATTGAGATCATGTTGTAAAATGCCTTGTTGGCTAATGGATCTATTTTCATAAAAAGTTAAATCATCAAGGTATTTTAGATATTTAGTAGTCGTGCCCTGCCCTGCATCATTCACTAAAATTTGAAAACCAATGGGTCCAAGTTTTGTTCCTTGAGGTATACCACCCTTAAGAGATATAAACTTAGATCTTAGGTTTCCAGATGTACCGGTACTTATATAATATTGTTTTCATTCAAAAAGTGCCCCTTGAATTTTCCAAGTTCTCAAAAGAACCCCCAATTTTCATCTATTTCCATATGTAACCCCCCAATTTCCACTCTGTTTTCATAGTAGGCACCCTGTTTGAATAAGCGCCCCTCAAAAAGTACAGAAAATGTTTTAAGCGTCCGGGCACTTATTTGCACGACTACAGTATGTACGTATTATTATTACGTACGTAGGCATTACTATGAGGACATACATGGTAATTTACACCTACGTGCGTGATAATACTACGTATGTACGTAATAAAAATATTAATACTAATAATAACTAATAATTATCTCTGTTTTTCATTTTGTTTTAGTTAAATCAATTTATTTTGAATTTACTTTTTTGTATATATTTATATTGTATTGTCATTGTATTTGTTTTTGATGATGGAGTAAGAGCAGTTTACTGTTTGGGCTTATGCCTATTACTTACTCCTGGCAAAAATATTGTATGTATACTTTTTACTCTGCCGAATAAATATTATTATTATTATTATTATTAATAATTTTATTTATTTTTGTCATGTACAACTCTAGGTCTTTGTAAGATTCAGCCGATGGATCCCTGGGAGATAATTCTTGCAATTAAACTCCGATAGCATTATGATACGACTTATAAATAATACCTAATAGTCGTAATCACATATAAAAGAATATTAAAATTCAGTAGTAAAAAGATTGGTAAAAATGTTTTTAAAAATATAAACAGCTTAAGAATATTTTAAAAGCAGTACTGTACTTGGGAATCCAATCTAAGATTCAACCCCAAGTTTGTTATATGAAAATTTCTGATGACTGGACAGCCGATTTCCAAAAGTATATGATGCATTTGTGTGGGTTAAGTTTTAGTTTATTATGAGTTAATAAAATCTTGTAGAATAGTTACTTTATGGTCAGATCATGCAAATATATTTCTAAATATTGATATTGGACAGTATATTATCATTCATTTCATCATTTATATCACTAAGAAAAACAATAGGGGCTAAGATGGTGAATTGAGGTACACCACCAGAGTCTTTAAATTAATTTCAATGTTTCTGTGTGCAAAATCAATATCTATGATGTTTACATTTTGTATAGGAATGGTGGATATTTTTGCTCGCACTGATCGTATGTTTTGAAAGTATGTATATTGCATTAAATAAAAACATTATAAATTATTCACCCCTTTTTCCTACTTCACTTTTTCTCTTTTTTAAAGTTGATAATTATGTTATGAACAGTTTGTGCTTAGAATGTTTGGAACCATTTCGACCCAATATTAATAATGATAATGATTAATAATAATAAATATTAATTTTGTCCTCTTGAAGAGGGCGATTCGAGGTCACCAAGAGCGTTAAGGCAGGGGTGCGACTAACTATAACCTATCACCGGTGCTGTTCAAGTCGTTCCTCAACCAGAGTTCGGTTACTAGTAGAACCAAGTCTTCTCGGATAAGGATTTAAAAACGGGAGGTCCTGTTTATACATCTGGCTCGTGTCCGCTTTTTAAAACCTATTGCATCTTTCGGACAAGTAGGGTGTTACCCCAATGCTATGTTTCATTTCAGAATTATGTGAAGAGCACCTGTCTATGGCTGCTACAATAGTCATGGACCAAAAGATAAACTAAGAAGGTATACTTTTTAGTACTATTATGTTATGGGTCGAAGTGGCTCCAAACATTATAAACAAAAACTGTATGCTGAGTATGACCCTCCACAAGTTAAAGGGTCTTATTGAAAACCATAATTTGTTACTGGAATCATAATATAGTCAATTATTTTTATAAGTAATTAAAACAGGTACGAGCACTTGTACGGGTTATGATGACTGCATGAATGGTGGTACATGTCAAAATTACTCTTTCTGGTGTGAGTTTCAAGAAACCACTGATTATCCAAACAGTAAGCATTTTCAGGTTTTTGTTTTATTGTGAGCTGATAATTATAATAAAGCAACATCATTGTCAGTAACTAATACATTTCTTGTTCCATATACTTTCATTATTTGTTATTTTAAGTATCATATGCAATATAAATAATGTAATTTATTTAATTCAAACATAAAAAGTTACGAAGAAATGCCAATTCATCCCTTTCTTTCTTTTTTTATTCTTAATTTAAAGGTTTTACTTTTAATAATTATAATTATAAAAGATGTACAAACAACAGTGATATTACGACCAATGAAACGTGTACTCGCTTCGATTTCCAAATGTGTGAATGTCCAAACGGATTTACCGGCGATAACTGTGAAACCAGTACCGGTAAGTATGTTGTTGTTTTAAGTTGCCTTATTATCATATCATCACCTATGTGTACTTCATTAGTGTTTTTCATAATATGATTGTGATTCTCAGGTGGCTGCAATTTGAATTGAAAATAAACATAATACAAATCAGTGATTAATGGAAAGTTATTTAAGATTCAGCGAGTACTCTATGTATACCCTCAGGGCAATTCCATGGTAACTAAATGACATTCTGACACAGATTTGTATTTTCAAACACATGTACCACAAGGTACTTTTGCCAATAAACTAAAAAAAAATACATTTTTTTCATAACAAATAGCTTCCTCTATATACAAAATTAATTTTTTTTTTGAAAATCACTTTCCGTTAGTAAAAAAATATATTAATATGAGTGGTAACTAAATGATGTAAATCTGACATGTGTTTTATACCTATTGTACATTTAATTAAAAATCTGTGAATTTATAGGCCAAATTTTATTTATACAGTATCAAGAGCAATCCTTAGGGTATAACAATGAATGTAATACCTTTTATTTTGAAAAAAAATTATTTATCATAATAATATATGGTGATTTTTATTAACAAGACTCCGGTAACTAAATGACGGTAACTAAATGACAAAAAATTTAGGCAACTGCAATATACTTGATTAGATGTTTTATTATGATTTAAAGACATATTTTTAAGGTAATTGGTTAATTAATATCAAAACAATAGGATATCAAACTAAATATGAATGTTTAATAAAAATTAATTTATTAAAATTGATTAAAAAATGATAGGGTTATTTCACGCCAATTTTAACAAATGCAATACACCATGGGACATCATTTTTTTCCCCTCCACTTTTTCCACTCTGACATATTCATATTCATGAGAAATGAAAAACTTAAAAATTTGGGAATCCAATTCTTGTTCGTTTTTCTGCAGCCGCAGTTTAAATTTAAGGGGCGGGCGTGCCTCGAAATAATGCGCCACAGAAATGAAAATTGATATTTATATGCTAATATCTTCGGAAGTACAACCCCCATAACCCTGAAAGTTTGTGTTGCAGGACCATGGTAGGCTATACTTTCAATGCTGATTCCAAATCTATAATCAGAAAAGTTGTAGCATGTAATGATTAGAAATAGGAAATGTCTGAAAATTGGATGAAAAGTTGTCTGGACCATTGTTCTAGAGGCTATAACAGGAAGAGTTAAACCATTTTAAATCTCCATTTGAGGAATCATAGCCCACTATTATTTCTCACCTCATATACAGTTATAAACTTCTAAACTTATTTGGCTAAAATACAACCATCCAAATGAGCCAAAAAGATTTTTAACAGCCCGCCGCCTTTCTTCCTCCCCCCCGCCACCAAAAAAAAAATCTCCAACATCAGCATTATCGCAACAAAAATGTCTTGATATGTTGAAGAGGTATCCCTAATGAAATTATAACAATTTTTAATGTCCTTACTAAATAAATATTACAAATTTATGTTCCTCGAAAACCTATGTTTTACCCCGGTTTTAACACATACTCAACATAATACGTATTTAACCATATTCGCATCGGATTAAATTTGACCAAGACTAACAGGGAAATTCAAAAGCTTTGCAATGTGTGTGGTATTAGCATGTGCTCAGAGATACTATAATACTTAATCATACTATCTATACTGAATTTTCTAGATTGGTTAAAATAGCCTGGTCAATCTTCATGCATCTGGGCACACTTCGTTCAGTAATAAAAGTAGCCGAGATGCTGGTTAGCCAGTGCGAACAAGGCTATAGACCTTTGGCAGGAAAGTATCCAATCACAAATGATGAGTGATTAATTAAACTTTTGCCACAAAATTGCAAAGTCTATTTATTTCAAATAACAACACCAAAACCAGACCTAAATAGTAACTCAGAGATCCCAAGTTTGGGAAAACCAAAAAATAGGGAGATTTTTTCGTGAAGCGATCGCCTCCTGTAGCGACGCGCTGTGACGCCTTACGACGCGCTGTGCAACATGAAAGTATTACACAAAATGAAGAAAACAAACAAATTTCATTAATTTGTTTACTATTATTTAACAATTTTACATTTGTTTACATATTGCAGTTGGCCTATATAAATTTATAAATATTATTATTTATTTAGAATTTTGCTAGTAAAGCATTCTTGGCAGCAATCAACAAGGCTTTGCTTGGTTCATTGGCATATTAGAGGCTATGGCTTAGATTTACTACATCTCTTCAAAGAACATAGAATTCTAGCAAGGTAACTGCAACTTGCAAGATCCACACATTTGCTGAAAAATTAAAAAATAAATATATATTTTAATTTAGTTAGTAAATCATACTACATGTTTTAAGTCAGCATTTATATATGTCTAGCCTATACTATTTGGTACATAATGCCATGAAAAAACATTAAATCCTGCCTCGCTACGCTCCATCTGTCCGTGCGTAACTAGGCCCCTAAGGCAGCAGAGTCACGACCACCACTACACACAGACGCCCACTCAACACAACACACATACCCTGCAGTGCAGATAGAGCCTAGGCCTACATGTATTTCGGGATTGATATTAAAATAAACTTCATTTTTCGGAAGACTACTTAGTATCAAAACCTACTAACTATGATTCTTTTAGTATTGTTATTAAAGAACTGAAGCTTACTTGAAAGAAAGAGTATTTTTTATGCACCGATTCTACAAAGTTCCAAATCTTCGCGGCGAAAAAAACTTGGGGCATCCATTGCATGTGATTTCTAATTTTGTTAATTTGTTGAAATTTATTTACTCAACTGACAGCCATCTCATATTGATTGAGGTCGGCGCGGATGAGAAAGATCGTAACATGGAGGATAAACAACTCAACCACGGATCTAGGCCTGCCTTGCCATGGAGTTGTTATTTTGATACACAACTTAAATAACAACTCCCTGGTCTTGTTTACGACATTTTAAGGCTGAGTGAGCGCCATAGTATATTGGCTTAAGATAAGAAATTTTGTTTCATTGCTCTATGACATCGTGGAAATCACATTTTTCGTGAAATTTTCGAGATATTTAAAAAAATCGGGAGATTACTACTAAAAATCGGGAGGGCGGGAGACGGCATAAAAAATCGGGAGAACCCGCGATTTTTCGGGAGACTTGGAAGAAACTGACAAATAAGAAACTGATCATTTGCATATAGCTATTCAGTGGAAATAGTTAAAATACTTTATTGCATAAGACTCAAATAACATCCTTGTGAGTTACATAAACTTGAAAATTCATTCAATAACATACTTTATTGCAAATAAATTAAACTGTTTCAATACAAATTTTGACTTGTCATTGTGTTACCGTCATTTAGTTACCGGCTCGGTAACTAAATGACATATTTAATATGCTAATAACTTATTAACAAAAATGAATTAGGAAATAAAATTAATGCCACTAGATAGACCTATTAAAACTAGCTTTGTGTATAGAGTTGTGTTGTTTAATAATTTATATTTTTTTGTAAAAAGTTAACTTTATGCTGTTTTCTGGTAACTAAATGACATATTAATTGGTTTTAATATTTTTGCATTTTGATAATAATAAAACATGAGGCAAAAGTAAAACTGAATGAAAATATGTGTTCTTAGTAAGCCATTTGACCATATTAAACTAGATTTTAATATAATTTCAAGTTTTATCTTAGTCTATTTTGGTAAGTTTGTATGTGAAATTTTATCAAAATAAAAAAATTATTTATTGACATATTTTAATTAATATTTAACAATACTTCTGATTTGAAATTTTAAAATCTGAGTTTACATCTTGAACGTATATGTTTTAAGCTAATTAGAAATCAAAACTGTAAATATAGAATGAATATGAAAATTTAGGTGCTTTGTCCATTTTGCATGGAATTGCCCCCCAGCATAGACGCATGACGTCGACTTATACAGTGTGAGCATGTACCTATTAATGTGAGCATACATTACAAAGCAAAAGCAAAGAGGCTTGAGACCCTGATGCACTACCTTCTGTACATAATAGTTATCCAAAAACTGAAAGGTCCACTGATTAATCTCAGATAAGAAAGTATAATACATACTCCAAGTATTGAAATACACGCCATCGTGTTGGGATTCAATATTTCGACATTAATTATGTCATCATTAATTATGTCATCATTATTTTAATATAATTTCAAGTTTTATCTTAGTCTATTTTGGTAAGTTTGTATGTGAAATTTTATCAACATAAAAAAAATTATTTATTGACATATTTAATGTCGAAATATTGATGATGACATAATTAATGTCGAAATATTGAATCCCAACACGATGGCGTGTATTTCAATACTTGGAGTATGTATTATACTTTCTTATAATAGTTATGGTTCTATGAAATGATTATACATACATTAAAGCATTAATAATAAATTATATATACATTAAGATCAGCGGTTTTCATTTTTTTTTTTTGGTATTTTTACTAATTCTGTAGCAATCAAATGTAACAGAAAAAACTAATGACAAACATATAATAGAACAACACAGACAAAACTAAACACCACTGCAAGGCCTGCCAGGAGAGTACCTGTAAAACCAGAAAATTTTGTGCGCATTAAACTTTCGCAAATTTCGCGAATGGTCCAGATTCGCGAAAATTTTATGCCGCGAATAATTTTCAGGTCACATGTTCTATGTTTCAAAAAAGATCAGTAGAACACTATCTGATCATCGTGAATCTCGAATCAGTTTTACAAAGAGATTTTGGTCATTATAAACCACTAACTTAGTATAAAACATACTCCAAATAAAGTAAGACTAGTCATTTTGATTCAATATTTCGATCTTTTAGATCTCATCAGGGATGAATAAAGATTCCAACATTACAAACATATATTCCAGAGGGGTTACAGAAAATTAACCAATGAGAAATAGTCAATAATGTAGCCATTAGTGTTCGGAGTACGCTTGAAGAGAGTTGAGTTGTGTAAGTTAGTCGGCAATCAGATATTTTTGTGAATTTTCTTGTGTCCGAAAATAA